TGATGATAAGTATTATGAAGGAGCAGCTTGATGATAAGTATCATTGATTATCGGTTGTCATTACATGTAGTGGTGTCTGGAAAGTGGAGATGGTGGTGGGCCTTTATTACACATACTCTCCTGTGCTGGGTAATGGTTAATGGGTCTAGACAGCGAAATTGTTCTGAAAATAATGTGTATTTTTGGGTCAAGTTGATGGTTTAAATTAATTGAATAGGGTTTAAATTTAATGGCTTTTGATAATCAGAGATTGCTCAGATGATAAGAAATAAGAATTATTGTTTGGTGTGTTTTGGGTAAGGTTAACGGTTATTGTTAGGGGGTGCTCAAATGATATGAATACCATAGACTGTCAGAATGTTGAAAGGAACTCAGTTTACATACCAAGTTAGAGGCCTCTACCATTTCAGTGATGTCTGACCTTTATGTGCAGTGTTATACAGTGGTCATGATCTATCCAATAGTGATAATGAACACAGCCCCTTACGAAGAAGAAGAAGAAGACCTTTATGTACCTCTCCTCCTACCAAGTTCATTTATCCAATCAAACAGCAGCTCCCAAACCACGTGATACTTCTGTTTTGATAACTGGTTCTTTTTATCTACAAGTTTTATCATTCGTCCTCTCTTTTGTGGTAGTAAACATCGTTTGTGATGAAACACAAACTTCTATTGTAATATTCCGACACATTTGTCAATGACTTAAGGTACACCAATATTATACATTTCGGGTGTTTTAAACCATAGATCTTGTACCTCAGTCACCTGATCACGTGACATGTAGCTGATCACGTGACATTTACACGTCACCACGTGATCCTTGTTTCATTCGTTGAACACGTCGTTAACAACCACGTGTCAGTTTAAGTGGACAAGCTTTTGTCCGCGTTCCACAAGCTTGTAAAGCTACATTTTACTTACTACTTACTTGCCCGCGGTGGCAGACATCATATCATAATTCTATAATTATCTACACCGTTTTGTTCAGTACAGGGGCCCGGTGGTCAAATTGTCAAACAGTTAAAAGTTTAAACAGGGGTTCAAAGGGCTCCTTCTATGAAATAAGTTGGAACAAGACCACGTGACATACTCTGACCAATAAGGAAGCAGTATTTAACCGACGGTAGATCGGCTATAGTGTAAACTGTAAACAGTTGTTGATGAATTACAATAGACCAGGGTCATGTTATATAACCGTAATGACTTTTTATGGTTTAAAAGCTTGAACGTTTTATTGTAGACGCTGTGACGAGAGAGAGGAGAGAGAGAGAGCGTAGCTAGGTATCGTTATGATTGGCTGAATTGTGTCACGTGGTGTGAATACTGAGCTGTGATTGGTGGTTTATAACGTAACGTACCAGGGGATGATAGGAATTGTGTTTACTAACGATGGTAAAAAGTTTTATCTTTTGTTAAGAGGAGTTTTATTAGCTGGTACGGAATGAATGAATATAGTCAGACAGCAACATACCACCTGCATACCACTCCAAATATAACATACTACTAAAATAAAAGTCTTAAACCATTCCACCACAAACAAATCGTTCACATAATATTACGTAATATAAGCCAGATTTTGCCATTTCAGAATCCCTATCTACTCCTTTTTATTTCCTTTTTTATTTACACATAACTATTCCTTAGAAATAACACTAGTTTTCCAAACCCTCTCCCCGCCCCACCCCAGCCTCTAGCTCTCTCCGCCTAAGCTGTATATTTAAGATCCATATACCACTAAACCAAATGTTACTCCACCGATTATCACTCCAGAGTTGAATACTTTGATATAGAACTACATACCTTGATATAGTACTACATACAGGTTGAATCTTGATAGAGCACTGCTACTACTGATCAATCAAATCACATATTGTGTAATAACCTGAGATACTCTGAGCTCAAAGCTACTATATTACATAACTTTATATATCATACGTTATATATTATATATGTTATAATATGTTATATATACTTTATATCGTGCATAGAACTTGATTTTGTACACGGTACTCCCCTCTCCTAAACTATGCGGTGAATCTCGGAGACGTTAACCAGTAGATACGAGAATATAGTTACAGTCGGGTTAACTTGATTCTGAGACTCTTCACATAGCTTGGCTACGTTAATACCTATAGTAAATAATTCCCGCACTGTTTAATTTCTGAAAAGTTTTCGATTTGTCTAGGGTTAAACGGGTTCGGAGTTTACAATTCACTGTAATTAGTTATTGAACTTATTTAACTTAAGTTATTTAAGTTATTTAACTTAAATTATTTAAGTTATTTAACGTTATTTAAGTTATTTAACTTAAGTTTACTATGAGGGATGAGGTACAATAAAACAATTAGAGTCGGATTAACATCCCACATATTTGCTACCAGATTACCTACGTTTTACAATAGATATTAATTCCTGCGCCGTTTTATTCATTATAATGTAGAAGTTTCGACGAGTCGAGGATTAAACTGGTCCGGATGCTAAAGTTAGACTGTAATTTATCTGATACTTGAATCTGTAATTTATCTTGGAATGTGACATGACACACTTTGTGTCACACACTGTGTCACACATTGTGTCACACATTGTGTCACATAATGTCACACATTGTGTCACACATCATGAGATATGACGTGACCCGTCTTAGAAGTTAGAGCTCAGAATTAGGCCAAAGGTCCTCTTAACAGCCCGTGAAATTATGGAATACAAAACAAAGAAGATACAAATTGTTGTTGTTGAGATGAAGTTCGTCATGTTCGATATGTTCGGGGGCCCCAAAATTGGAGTAAAATTTGTTGCATTAAGTCGCCTTCAGGGGGCATGTATTTACTTTAAGTTTGGTAATAACTGAGGTCCATTTATCCCAAAATATGTAACCACACACTGAATCAGAAAATATGACGTTATTTACATAGCTGATATAAGGGGTGTGTAAATAAAGAATATGACGTAACTTTAATGTAAATATAAGGTCAGTTTCTTTGTTTGCTTGGAGAGAAACAGTTTAGTTTCCTGAATTCCCAAAAGATGGTGTGACCTCACCTATAGTAATTAGTGAAGGAATTTGTCATTACATTGTTTACATTGCATTACAATTTCACCCTGTAGCAGGTTTGTGACGTAGTAACACACCTTACGTAATATTGTATGACATTTTGTGGGCGTGTTTCCAATCTACATCCGTTTTGGCTATGATATGTTTGCAAAATTCCGTTAAATTTCAAGATAAAATAAAGGTTCTAACCTCTTTAGTTACTTATATTAACCAGTTATTATAACCAGTGGAGGTTTTAAATCATAAATGTACAGAAATTATTTTAAATGATTAAATTTCGATATTGTTTACATTAATATCTGATTTCATCCTGTGTGATGTGACATATTGTCATGTAATTATATGGGTGAGCGCTGTGTATCATATTAATTTACACACGGATTTGAATATTATGTGTTTTAGATATTTTATGTCTGCAAAACTCCAAGATTGGGAAATTGTTGCATAATTCCGTCACTGAAAAGAAGTGAAATCCTAAAAATGCAAAGATAAATTTAAAAAAGATTATAATCAGAGAATATATAAATTGTACACCAACAATCATAGTAGATAGAGCTAAAATTCCATTCTTGTTATTGTAGTGTTACCATGGTGACTAACATACCTTTACTTTATCACGTGACTGTTGCCATAGCAACTAACATTCAGTGAAAGCAGGATTAATGAACGAATAGTGTGACATTGGGTTCTCAACCATGGAAATTTAAAAGTCTCTACATGCTGTTCTTTCTGGCTCCATGTGCTAGTTAGGGGTCTGAGGTATCCGGAAAATTATGTTTTGAGTACCCAAAGTGTTCTGGGTGCCAGGAATGAGGTTATTAAAGCGGCGAAAATGACCGGTTTTGGACTATTTATGAGCTTTTTTGCCCATTTTCATGAGATAAAGAATCAGGAAAGCTGCTCTTGATGATTGAAATGGTTGATACCAATGAGGATACACCCAACACACATAAATATACGTGATATATGTGATTTTAATGAGAAAAATATGATCTCAGGGCCCATTTTATACCAAAATTTGCCAAAACCACTCGCACTTGTCAAAGCTTCCTCATTTTAGACACATTTAATGATTATTATGGTATCTACACCCAACACACATAAATATACGTGATATATGTGATTTTAATGAGAAAAATATGATCTCAGGGCCCATTTTATACCAAAATTTGCCAAAACCACTCGCACTTGTCAAAGCTTCCTCATTTTAGACACATTTAATGATTATTATGGTATCTAACTTATGGTGGATCTGATAGGAGTATGTCTTAGCTTCATTTTAAGCCATCAATGAGCATGCTGGTGTGTATGAAAGTACTTTAATCCTCCCGTCCATTGATCATATATAGTATGGGCCATGCGCGCGCGCGCACGCGCTTGTTACAAGCATGAATTTTCTTCCTCAGTATCTATCTAAAGCTTTTAAAGACATGATTAGAATGCTATCCTACTCAGCACATGAGTGCTACAAGATGGTGAAAGAATTTCCATGAAAAATCATTAAATGTGGAAGATATGAGGTCATATGTGTGTGTGCGCGCGCGCGCGCGCGCGCTTGTTACAAACTTGACATCCTCAGAACTTTCACATTTACTGAGATTTTGTTTCAAACTTAATTGACTCTGAACCGAAATTGCCAGAGGAAACAGATAGTGTAACTCAGAAAGACCACAAATGGATAGTTTGTGTGATATTGAGGTTATACTCCAAAAAATTTACAATGATGTCACACCAGAAAACCCCTATTTTTGGTATATTTAACCTCATATCTCGAACGCGCAGTACTGGATTGAGCTAAACTTGGTCAGGTTTTGTAGCCCTGACTATCCTCGATCATATGGAACAGGAATAAAACTGTTCAGATGTTATATCTTAATTATATTAGGCACTTAGTTCTGAAAAGTGAGAATGTCATTAATACTGCTTTCACTGCATTCCTTTCTTTCAGCACGTGACTGCTATATAGAGAAAGGGAGTGGGTTTGACTACCAGGGTAACGTGAGCGTTACAACTAGCGGACTTGCTTGTATACCGTGGAGAGACTCACTTTACAGGTAAATATATTATTATCACGTGATTGTTTTTTAGTTTACGATATATCACGTGACTATGTGACATTCTTTATAGTTAAATACCTTACAGTTTACACTTTTTGGAGATATTTTATCTGTCATAGTTTTAAATGAATTTGGCGTTTGAGATTCTTGAAAATTACACCAGATTATGACATGCAAAGTGAGCTTGATAATTTGGTCCACATTACAATAGTTTTGAAGCGTTATCAAAAGATAGAATTTGAGTTTTAAAATCATGATTTTGAGAATAATATTTTGTTCTAGCCATGGCTAGCTACAAAATTCAACCATCGTGAATCGTGATTAAATGATGATTTAATTTACTAAGTATAATTTATCAATGGATAACCTAATATCAGCGTTGAAGTAGATACAATAAACCAAATTTAACTAGATTTAACTAGATTAAACAGGATTAAACTAAATTAATTTAAATCATTTAATTGATTTAACCAGTAACCACCTAGTGCATACCTGGATCACACGTATTTACGGTAAGTTAGAACTGAGTGCTGATTGAGTAATAAATGAGTGAGTGAAACTGTGTGAATAGTTCTATATTGAGTGCTAATTGAGTGCTAATCGAGTACTAAGTGAGTGATAAATTCGAGTTCGAGTATAAAATCGAGTGTCGTACCTGTTTTCTTTGAGTGTGTTCCGCCAAGATGTTTTAAGTGCTGTGCATGATTTCACATTTGAAATTTCGTTAATATTAAATTTTGAATTATAAGCAGCTTGATTATGTCGTATTATAATTTTTAAAGTGAAGTTAAGTTATACTTGGTTTAGTACAGTATACATTGTGTGGAAACTTGAAAAGCTTCTGCTTGCCTGTGACCAATGTCAACATGTGTGTGTGTGTGTGACTGTGCATGATCCTTTGAGACCTTGCCAGTTTGGAATTGTCTTCAGGTCATGTTTTAGAGAAACTTTTTGTTCAATTATTATTACTTATTAGTCAGCCAACATTTAATTTAAGTATTTGTAAAACTGCGCTCAATAACACTAACAGTATATTATAAAAGTAATATGAGAGTACAGAACTAGAGTCTAGACTAACAATCTCTAAAAAAGAGATTGTTCTAGAAACCCAGAAAATAGTTCACGTGAGCAATCTCAGTTAAGTTAATGATAAGTAAGGTAAAAATATAAATAATTAAAACAACACACATCCAGGAAATATATTGGAGCAGATTAAGTTTACTATTTGTTGTGAGTATCTTACTTACAAAACTCACAAAACTCACAAAACTCACAAAACTCACAAAACTCACAAAACTTACAAAACGTAGTCATCTGAACTTAAAAGTTAGTAATATAAGTTCACACTTTTCCTCGTTTCAGTTTCAACAGACACAAACTATCAGAGAACTTCTGTCGGAACCCTAACCCTGATACCTACGATAAACCCTGGTGTCCTACAGATGATCCTAACGTACCTCAGGAGGAATGCAACATTCCTACATGCTCAGGTATGTTTGTGCGTTTGTTTGTGCGTTTGTTTGTACGTTTGTTTTTTTAAACATTCCTACATGTTCAGGTATGTTTGTGCGTTTGTTTGTTTGTGCGTTTGTTTAAAAACCTTGTATCCTCAGTTTTTAGAGTGTGTTTTACGTGTAAGTCCATTTCTTAGCTCCTGTAATTTCTTCACTCAAACTACCTTGTACATTCTCTCATCGCAACATTAAATAACTAATAAAATAAAATAATTTACCAGTTATCTGTCTGGCGTCTAGACTGTCCTTGTAAATCACAAAACCCTAAATCTGCTACAAATACTCAACAAATATGCATCAAATATTTACCTTGTTACACTATGTAATTTAAACTATGTAATAATTCATGTTCATAGCTCCATAAAAAGAGAAAACCCCTTCTCTTGAATCATCCGCCGGGATTTTGGGCCTTCCTAAAGCCATAAACTTTAAACACTGTCTATATTCTAACCCTTTGATCTGCTCCTTTATCAAAACTTATGTTGTCACCTTCAACGTTCCTTCACGTGAATAAACCAATCGCCAGATCACTTCTAATGAAATGAATTGGTGAAGTAAGATGTAAGAATGTTGACCTTGTCACTTTTTTATAGCTTCTCCTAATTCCATTTATTTCTAAAATGTAGGGTTATGGCTTCTTGAGGGGTACCCTAAGGCTGTACTAAAGATGTTGGAGCAGTTAGGGGTCTTTACAATCATATAAAGTTTATTAGGTTCACGTTTTCTGAATTCTTACATTTTAGTTATAGTGTCGGGAATACTCAACTTTCATTGGTTGATTTATGAGCTGTTATTAGTGGTGATATTATAAAGTTATAATGTGGGGGACCACCACTTACGTTTTTTTACGGCAAAGCAGTTGAAGCAACTTTGATTACCTTATTTTATAAAAAATCAATCAAAGATTTCCGGCGAGCTTCGAGCCTCACGGGTTGAACGAACAATCAAAATTTGCGGGCCCAATTCAACTTTAAAGGAATCTCTCTCGATAACACAAAAAAACTCCTCCTCTTTTGTTTCCCAAGTACAACAACACCATAACCCTGAATTACAGCAATTCAGTTCCACCCCAAATTACGTCCTCTAACTGGTCCCCCGACACCACGTGACCTAGACCAGCTCTGTGATTGGTTGGCTGGTCACGTGACAGTGCCAAATACGCGATGGTTAGGAGATGATCAGGTTGGTGGCTGTCAGGGAGGTGATTTGACTTTATAAGGGCTGATTCCGTTTTGCTGTTCGACATATTTAGATTAAACTGAAATGCTTCGCTTTATGATATAGTGTTATTGGTTCACTTCCTCTAGTTGCTCAGTAAAACCTTCATTTACCGGGTATGTTAAGCTTAAAAAGGGAAAGGAATTTTAGGCAAATTTTCATGGTAAATCAAAAATTATGGTGAATATGGGCGTTTGTGAACGCTAGTAACCCTAGTAAATGAACATTATGAAGTTCTCTCAAGATTTTATATCACAAAAAATATGGATATTGTAATAGTATGTGCATTTTATCTATTCAAATCTCTTGGTCTGTATCCAAATCCAATAACAGTTATGAGAACTGAGAAGTCATCTTGATGTGCAACCTTATTTAGGGTATGAGCATGTTGTGGAATGTATAAAGGTATAACCCTTTACGTCCCTGCTTCTGCTTCACATCCTCTCTTTGACTCGTCCAGTCCCCTTATTTGACCCACAACCTCTTCCCTCTTTTAATTGAGATATAATACCCTCCCAGCCGAACATTCACCTAACTTCCCCATGTCCCCATGAGGCTACACCACGTGACAGAACCCTCCTCTCTGATTTGTAGAAAACACACCACGTGGGCAAGTTATTGTAGCACGTGGGCAACTTACTGCACTGTGATTGGCTCTGGGGGCGAGGAGAGAAGTTTTACTGTGTTCAGCCAAAAGACGTGCTACTGGTGCAGAGTTTGGTGCGGTCTACCTCTACAAAATATAACGATTTATTATACTAATTTAAAACAGTGTAAGATAATAAGATGGTTTTAATACGCTGTTTAAGACGTAACCTGGCCTTACACCATGGCACGCTTTACCATGTGCTAATGAAATGTTAATGTATAGCTATATAAAATATATAACAATATATTGTAATGAATATATAGTTTTAAATAAGCGAGGACAAGTTTTTAACCAGGATCAAGACCTGTATTCTAGAAGGTCTAGAAATTGATAAAACAGAAATTGATCGGTTAAATTACCTCTTCAAGATTTTACAAAGTTGGAGTTCTATGTGCTGTGGTCTTGAATTACTCTCCACTCGTACGGGTAGAAATATTTGGTAAACATTGATATAACAAAGACATCAGATAATTAATTATTGTTATTGCAAATTATCGGGTAATTAATTATTAGCTAATTAGTTAATAACATTGCACATCTCAACAGTGTTTGTTGTGTGCTACAAACAGTTTATTTTTAAACTAGTGTATTGTACAATGTACAGTAACGTAAACAAATAGATATAAGTAGAAAACTCATATGAACAAAGACTTTTAAAACAAAACCTTGTGTTTAAATAAGCGGAAATACGAAATAGCTGTGATATTGCTGCAAAAGCTCGTTCTTTATTTTAAGCTTTTGAGGTATGATGAGCTAAATGCGCATTTAAAATTGTATGGCAATGATGACATCAATTCCGATGTTCTCCATATATACAATATTGATGCAAAAATTATAAATCGTCAGCGGACTATACAATATACATCACAGATGTTAATATAATTTAAAGATACATGTTTTTTTGCTGCATTCAGAATTCCAATCCAACTTTTTATTTAAAACTACAATCACTATAAATCTGACCATGGCCCAGTAATCTGTCCCAATCGCTCCCTCATCATTTCTATTATAAGTATATCGTAACTAGATTACAGTCGACTGTGTGTAAGTTCAGTGATATGTGTACACTTGCTTCCTACAGATATCTGGATACCCCGGAAAAAAAGCTTACATAATATCGTATTGGTATCTAATATATACGCCAATCCGTCTTACACGAATGCCAAAAAATGTGTATTTTCAAAGGAAATAAGTCTGATTAAAACATTTTCCGCCGATTACACTGTAATCATTACAGATATCTCTAAGGTCAAACTCTTTATGCCGTATTAATTGTAATGGATAAACCGTCACGTCTGGTGCAAATAAAATACAAGATCATCTTCGCTCATACATTCCTCGGAAATCTACGTATTTTAAAACCGGCAACACAACAAATAAAGCATAGTTAAATTTAATACCACTATCAGTTAAGTTTTACCACTATCAATTTTACCACTATCAGTTTTAAACCACTATCAGTTAAGTTGTACCACTATCAGGATCAGTTTTACTACTATCAGTTTTACTACTATCAGTTTTACCACTATCAGTTTTACCACTATCAGTTTTACCACTATCAGTTTTACCACTATCAGTTTTACCACTATCAGTTTTACCACTATCAGTTTTACCACTATCAGTTTTACCACTATCAGTTTTACCACTATCAGTCCATTCTGATGATGCCACCAGAGCACCACTACATTTAAGTACACAGTGACCTGTAACATAGCTATATAGCATAGCAGTTAACAGTAAGATAGTGTGTGTTTGTGCAGTGTAGCTAGCTAATAAATGGGGTGTTAATTGGCCCTGTTTCCGGGGACTAGTTCACCTCCATTACCATGCATCCTATCTAGCAGGGGCCACGTTCTTTAGCAGGGCCACTTGGCCACTGTACATTGTACAGTACCACTAGTTCACCTCTATTACCATGCATCCTATATAGCAGGGGCCACGCTCTTTAGCAGGACTAGTTCACCTGTATTACCATGCATCCTATCTAGCAGGGGCCACATTCTTTAGCAGGGGCACATTCTTTAGCTGGACCACTGTACATTGTACAGTACCACTAGTTCACCTCTATTACCATGCATCCTATATAGCAGGGGAGTGAGGGGCCACGTTCTTTAGCAGGACCACTGGGCCACTGTACATTGTACAGTACCACTAGTTCACCTCTATTACCATGCATCCTATCTAGCAGGGGCACGTTCTTTAGCAGGACCACTGGGCCACTGTACATTGTACAGTACCACTAGTTCACCTCTATTACCATGCATCCTATCTAGCAAGGGCACGTTCTTTAGCAGGACCACTGTGCCACTGTACATTGTACAGTACCACTAGTTCACCTCTATTACCATGCATCCTATCTAGCAAGGGCACGTTCTTTAGCAGGACCACTGTGCCACTGTACATTGTACAGTACCACTAGTTCACCTCTATTACCATGCATCCTATATAGCAGGGGCCACATTCTTTAGCAGGGGCCACGTTCTTTAGCAGGGCCACTGTGCCACTGTACATTGTACAGTACCACTAGTTCAACTCTATTACCATGCATCCTATCTAGCAGGGGCCACATTCTTTAGCAGGAGCACTGTGCCACTGTACATTGTACAGTACCACTAGTTCAACTCTATTACCATGCATCCTATCTAGCAGGGGCCACATTCTTTAGCAGGGACACGTTCTTTAGCAGGACCACTGGGCCACTGTACATTGTACAGTACCACTAGTTCACCTCTATTACCATGCATCCTATCTAGCAGGGGCCACGTTCTTTAGCAGGACCACTGTGCCACTGTACATTGTACAGTACCACTAGTTCACCTCTATTACCATGCATCCTATCTAGCAGGGGCCACGTTCTTTAGCAGGACCACTGGGCCACTGTACATTGTACAGTACCACTAGTTCACCTCTATTACCATGCATCCTATCTAGCAGGGGCCACGTTCTTTAGCAGGGGCACTGGGCCACTGTACATTGTACAGTACCACTAGTTCACCTCTATTACCATGCATCCTATCTAGCAGGGGCCACATTCTTTAGCAGGGGCCACATTCTTTAGCAGGACCACTGGGCCACTGTACATTGTACAGTACCACTAGTTCACCTCCAT